GTTTTCCTTGGCCAGTCTTGAGAAAAATCAAAAAAAAAAAAAATTAAATTCATTACAATTATTTTACACATAATATAAAATATTTATCTTATCCTCTGGTAATGGTATCTTCTCTTGTGAGTGAAATTGAATGTTCAAATTATTGCTGCTTTTTCCTTTATCCTTGTTGACCAATTGACGTCCATTTGCTATGTGAGTTGGTAAGTGAATAAGTTTTCTGACAACTTCACAATGAAAATCAATAAAATGTTCTGTATACTGAGGAAATTTTTTTTTGTATATGTAGAATGAGTTCCACAAAGATTATCAAGAAGATGAAACAGTACTTTCTTGCACCACTTGATGGTTTTTCTAGGACTTGAATAATATGACAGCATTTGGTCATAATATACCAGACATATTTGAGTTGTACTCGATTATTTGTTTTGATTTTTGAATATTTATCCCACGTTAATTTAGCATAGTGGTCATCAAATGATGGTATCCAGTAGTTATGTTAAAAACATCCCTTTTGTCTTTCCATCTGCTAACATAAATCGATCTCTTTCTAGAAAACTTGTGGTCTCCTTTCTTAAGTTTAACATCTTTACCTGTGATTCGAGTAGGATTATATTTTCTATTCGATCTTAGAGTTCCGGTTGTATGAGTTTAATCAAGTAATATTTTCGACAAACCAATACTATTATAAAAATTGTCCATAAAAAGATGGTGGTCTTTATTTAAATATGGTCTCAAAAGTCTCATAACTAAATCGTACAAGGCAAATATGTCATACCACGACTAAATCTGTAGACATACTAATACGATTTGTATAAGTATGTATAATAATATACACATTACTAGTAGGCCAGTCAACGAAGGAGTAATTTTGGCGAATGGCGGAAAAAATTCCCAACCAAATTTTTTTTTTTTTTAAAGTTGAATTAAGATATGTATAATGACATACTAAAAGTCCTCATCGATTGGACTTGAGCTTTTTTTTTTACAGCCTCGCAAAAGTTCAAAAATATGAGCTTTTTTAATTTTCTCAAAAAATATTTAACTTACAAAAAAAAGTTTCGTACAAAAGTTATTTAAAAAACAATTTTAAACAAAAAAGGTATCTTATATTTTTTCATTTAAACAAATATTTTTCGAGTTACATTACATTTAATATGAGTACTAAAATTTATTTTCCAATTTTTTTCATTTTACGGTTACTTTTTATCATGTTATACTTACATTAGACAAAATGTTATAAATGCATATGTGTGTATGTGTAAGTTTATTTATTTATAGTATCATTAAAGT